CATCTTATTCACGATTGCTTTTATACGAGTTGCATCGATTTATCCACGCAAAAGAGGGGCAATAAATAGGGGAAGGTTTTCAATTATAAAGATATGCAATATATGCAATGTGATCGATATGCAATAATTAGCACATTAGCGTGGCAACATGCAAATTGTATGAACGCAGTGACCAATTTACGGGGACCTGTCTTTAATAATTTATAATACCATTAAACGTTCCGCGTAATCTTTGTTCTTTGCTAGGATTTCAATTAATCACGATATTAATTACACATAGAAATTATGTGAATATTGATGATTTTGATTATATAACATGTTTCGCGATAAAATTCGATTTGAAATCCCATATCTGCGTTATCAAATTATACGAAATTTTGCTCATGTGTCGATAAACGCTATTAAATTTGCGACCAATATTCTGACAGGTTGATTTATGAGATAAATCGAACATTCTTTCGTCTGTATGTTAAAAAGAGTCCTCATCTTTTTAGAGTCTCTCTATCATGTTTTCGGAAAATTTTTTATTTTCTCTCGGAATATTTCAATTCTGTATATGTGTGTGTATATGTTCGATCTTTTATCTGTCCTTTAAATACAGCTACAAAAATTTCTTTTGGCCGTCACATGTTAATCGAATAAAATTCGCCCAACGTGAATATATCGCGCGGCGTGTCGAGAAAGTCGAAACGCTCGCGTCGCCTCGTTATTTTATTACTTATGGGTGTAACATACAAGCTACGGAGAAAGCGACGACCAGTTTGTGTACGGTCTTGGTTCGTAGATTTTGCGGCAGCCGTCGGATCGCGTCGGTTTTTCCAGCGAGTTGTATTTTTCCTCCCTGAGCCGCTTGATCTTTACGACGATAGACGACTGTGAACGCGTTCGATTATATCACTTTCTCGTCAATTCTTTTTTCTCACAATATTATATCACTTTATCGTTCATATGAATATGGCATGTGACTCGCTCGTATATTATCCAACGCGGAAATCGCGGATTCTTAGATCCTCAGAGAATCTCAGGGATGATTTAGAGAAATCGATGAATATTGGAACTGAGCCACGATTCGAAGATTTAAATGTCGAGATAGCCAAGAATGCAAAATTCCATCTACATACTTGCCACTATTACCTACCTACGCGTACTTTCTACACTCGGAGCTTCACTCGGATTGCCAATTAATTATACCATTATAATTAATATAATTAATATCCACCATATAATTAATTAATACCCACATACCTGGGAGTGGCTAATTAACGACTGATCCTCTCCTTGCTATTCCCAAGCTCGTTATCCATTCTTATAACTCGAGTTGTCACTCTTTATTATTTTCCTGCGCCCTACTGAATGAATCTGCTGCTAATCTCATCCCTGTACGCAACCTTGCGTCCTCGCTTAAAAACTTTGCTGTCCTCGCGGAAGGAAACTAAGAAAGCATCTGTTGATATACTCGTTAAGACATTTCGTTATAATTAAAAAAGATCAAAGCCAAATTTAAAAAAAAAAAAAAAAAAAAAAATACAAAAAAGAAAAGAGAAAAGGAATTTGTATGAGACAAGATGTGTACTTTGTTTTTTTTTTTCGACGGTTATAGACGTTTCTAAGGCAATAAAGATAAAAAAAGAAAGAATAATCACAAATCATCGAAGAGAGGGATACATGTACTTTTCCATAATTCGCTAGAGTTGTTGAACGCTTTTACGCGATACGATATACGCAATACTGATTACGTGCAAAGTATCCCCAATGACTAATTCGGCCAATTAAGGATCGGTTAATGCGGAACCGGGAAGAGAAGCAAGCAAGCAAGCGCGCGCGCGCGCGCGCTCGCTCGCTCGCGCGATTGACGATGGTGACCTTGAGAGAATCGCGGCGGTTCTCTCGCGCGAAAAGGAGGGGGGACCCTCCCTTGAAATCGATAACGCGTGACAGCGCACGGTCGGCGACGATGTACATATATACACACGCTTGCGTCGGGGACGGGATCCCCGATACAACGATGCGGCTTACCTCGCAGCGTCCGTCCGGGTCCTGTCCGAAATCCGCCGCCATCTTGGCCGGTGACGCCGCGTACTTCGGACCTCGGCGCGGCTCGGCTCGGCGCGCAGTGCGCCGCCGGGTCGCTTCCGCGGATGGGATTCACCTGCGCGCCGCGTACGACCTTGCCGGCTCTCTTTCCCGCCCGAGCAAAGATTCACGGGACCACAAATCGACACTCTCTCGGCCGCGCACTAGCTATTGTCCTCTCCTCCTCCTCCTCCTCCTGCTCCTCCTTCTCCCCCTTTTCGTCTTTTCGTCGTCGACGCCCACGCGCGTCTTTCTCGCGTTGTCGTCGTAGCCGGGAACGGACGAAGAGAGAAAGAGTCCCCTCGACATTTTCGCGATCCGACATTGCGCTTGAATCACGCGCGCGTCATCGAATTTGGCGGAAAAAAAAAAACTCTCGAAACGGCACTCGCGGTGTCGAGCGTTCAAAATGTCCGCCCGTCGAAGGCGAACAACGTCACACACGTTCGAGCAGTTTGCAAACTCCGCGAGACTTATCGACGGCACTTTAATATCGCGCAATATACGAAACTCGCTAGAACGCTAAACTCTACATGTAACTGCCTCCTCTTCTCGTGTTGACAAGACCGAGGGAGAGATAGAAAGACGGTTGCACGCGAAACGGCGAAAGCGGAACAACGAACGATAGGCGAAACGAACGGACACGGCGCGTTTAACTCTTCCCGTCGCGTCGTCGAGAAAGGGACGAGTTGGCGTAAAGAGAAACACACGGCTACTCGCGAGTCGCGAGGGAACGTACGAGCTGCCTTTCCTCTTCGAGGACGGACGAGTATCGCGCGCGCTTGCGACCGACACGGCTACGACTACGAGTCGTGGCCGCTTTGACCTTGGCATTGAACTTGTGGGCGCCGCGCGGGACGAGGCGGAGGCGGAGGCGCGCGGCGGACAAACCTGCGCCTGACGGAAGGGAGCGCCGGAGTGGGGGGACGCAGCTGAGCTGGCGGAACGACGGGCTTCAAGAGCGGAGGGTTGGGGAAAGGGAAGTGAGAGGACGGGCGGATTGTGTGATGTAGCGGGAGGGAGATTGCGTCATCTCGCGCAAGCCTGAACGCCGCGCGTCAATACAGCGGAGAGCGGAGACTCGCCTGCCTGGCCCTTATAGACCAACCTTCCCTCACGTATATATACACATATATACATATATTCGCATATATATGTATGCATATACAATTGCCCCTATCTATTTATCTTTCTATATGTCAGACGTGCGCTGTCAAATATATACTATAAATGCGCGTCTGTGTGTGTGTGTGTGTGTGTGTGTTTGCGCGCGCGCGGGCACGCGATTTTATTCAATTGAAGAATGTGTGATATGAATATAATACATTCTTTCGTGGAATATCATTGATCGCGATATATAGCGAATTATTCTTTTGCGATTGACTTTGTCTTTACCTGGGCTTTGTCCGGGTTCGAAAACTTCTGGATTTACTTAAATATAAGATAGATTATGTATGCGCGTATAATGTTATGTAAAACATGTCTAATCCATGAAGGAAATATGTGTTTCAACTGCGGAATCAACTTTATATTATCGTGTTATAAAATTGCTCAAAATTTGTAAAATTGTTTTGCAATACAATTTACAGACATATGAGCTAAATGCCGAGTGTGAATCATGAATATTCGATCAATATTCTCGATCTATACAATCAATAGTTCCTGTTTGAAGATGACCAACTTGGTTGAGTCTAACACGGACGAAACGACTTTTCTCGTAAACAGCGATCCCGGATGAGAGTAGTCTAACCAAAATAAGACACATTGCCGCCCTTAGTTCGACCAAACTTCACCAATCGCCGCAGACGCATCGGTAATCCAGGGGCGGAGCCAAGACACGAGTCTCAAAGTCGGTCTCGGTCAGCTTGAGTTCCCATTGGTGAAGTTCAGAGACGAGGCAGCATTAATCGCGCTGTTCTCCGGCGAGACGCAACGTGTTCGGTAAAGCAAGATGGCTAACCCGACAATAAATCGCACGTCATCGTGTTTTTGATACAAACCGAAAGAGCGAAAAGATGGTGAGTTCCAAAAAAGAAGATGTTAAAGATGAACAATTTTTTGAAGGACAAAAATAGGAATCAGCACAAAAGTGAATTGAAGAAGAAAGAGAAAAAGGGAATATATGATATCAATCTCTATCATATTTTATAAATATTACATGATTGTAAATTTGTAGTCAAGAAAGAGAAAGAATCATTTTATTTTCCTATTCAAGATATACACGTATAGGGTCCAAGTTGTTCCTTTTAAATAAAATAAAAGATAAAAAGCCTAAAAAGACTAGAAATAAATAGAAAATATGTAATATAAATTATTATTATATATAAAATATATAAAAACATTAAAATATAAATATAATATAAATATTATTTGTACTCTTCAAGATTTATAAAATAATCATAACGATATAACTTTGGATTCTAACAATTTTACTTGTATAATCTTTTCAGAGAAAAAATGGCTACCAAGTCGCAAAATGCTTGGAGATCAACCATGTCCTTCATATATATAGGGAGACGTCTTGCCGCTGCAACCTTTATTTAACCTTGGCCAACGCATTTGCTGTCTTATGCACGTAAAACATATATCGTCGCAAACCTCACCGACCTTTAGTGCGCCGCATCGCAATTTTGTCGGAGACAGTTAGAAGATAAATGTGGAAGATTCACATTAACGACGAAAGTATTGCAAGAGTAAAATGTGACGAATAGTAAGAGAAACGAGTTCTACATTCATCTTTTGCCAAAAATTTGGAAAATGCTTTGCTTTTATGCGAGATAAGAGAAATCAATTTGAATTGTCTCAATTGTCGCAATATTTGGTTGAAAAATTTCCTGTATTAATAAAAGAGAGAATCTGACTATATATAATATTTACCTTCTTTTAAAGCATAGAAATCACTTTCGAAAAACATGAAATATATGCAAAAAAACTTTGTTATAATAAATAATATTTAATCGTATTCGATTACCAAAATCTGTAATATTTAAAATCCTTTACACTTTCGATCACTTGAAACTCAAAAACTACTGGCATTTGGACTCTATTAGTCTTCGACTAAGAAAAAAATCGACTCCAACTTTATTCAAAAAAGGTGATTATTTAAAAATCTTTCTATATATATTATAAAAGACATAGAATTTCGACATTCAAGAAATAGACCGGAAGCGAAGTTCTGGAACAGTGGGAGAAAAGCCGAGTATTAGCCGCTCACGATTACCAAGTGCATTTTAGAAGATTACATCCGCTTGTAAACGCCAAATTGCAATTGTGTTTGCAATACGAATACGAGAATACGCCCTCGATTATCGAAAAAGGTCGAACAAGGCAACTATTTTAGAAATTTAGCAATAATGACATGCGCCGAAAAAGAAATATAATTCACCGTGCCAAAATTGCTTGAAATCGGCCAAAAGTTTTGAAAGATTTGCGGTAAATTAAGTCAATTCTACGAATCTAATAAGAATACGCCTTACACTAGTTTCATGTAGAATAATTTCAACGACAAAGAAATTAAATCACGAAAAAAATTGATCAAAAGTCATGTAAAATATTATTTTTTTAAAATTCTTTTTGATAAATGAATAATATGTCATGGAGTCTTTTCTCTCTTAGCAAGAATAATTTTATCAACTTAACAATGGTTTTCAAATCTAATCCGCGATATCGTTTTATATCTCACAAAAATGCTTTAGCACCGATCATAATAGTAGGGTACGCGTAATTAATTTTTGCCATTTACATAACTTATTCGATTATCACTTTTCGCATATCTTGTATAAAGTCTTTTCAAGCATCACGTGTAAAGCGAATTATTTTATTTTTAATATACTTTTCATTAAAATGTTAAAAATGAATCGAGAAATCAAGAAATTGGCTTTCAGGGAAATGTGAAAAATTGGAGAACGAATGCACAGGCAGCCCAATCGGAAATTACAACCTTACGCACGTTCGCAACACAAAAGGGAGAAACGATACTGCGGTGTACTTTTTCTATTTCCTCGACGGATAGATTTGCAAGTAAAAATATTTGAGATATTGTAGCGAATACACCGTAGCGAAAACGGATGGAACACTATGTGCTATATAATCTTTTACACTTAAATAGTTGTCAAATTTAATCAATTCATAACATTGAATAAATACTTTGCACATGTTATAGTTGTAAGATAACAACGTCAAATATATGTAATGTATACATAGCTGCAAATAATAATCAAATTTTTTCATATTTACATACTTTATCTTGAAAATGAATTCTTTTATAAAATTGCAAGATTATGAAATTTCAGTACACACTATCCTTTCTCGCAATGTACATCACATGAATATATTTAATAATATAATCAGAGGATTTATTGTCGCAAGTATAGAAAAGCAATATTGCAACATGTAACGCGATATGTTTTTATATCGGTCGCTCGAATAACTGAAAGCAATTAATTTGATAATTATTTATATATTTATTTATCCCTCTTGTTATGTATAGAATTTATTATTTGGCGAATATCCACAACGAAAAAAAAAAAAAAAAAAATTAAAGATAGCAATGCAATGATTATTAAAAATGGAAAAGTATAAAATTAAAAGCGCAGAGAAAATATAAAAATGATCAGTATGTAACATGACTATCGAAAATAATGTAGTAATAAACATTCAAATGAGAATTAGATCATGTAACAAAAACTTATATAATGAAAGACTCACCTAAATCCATAGGATACAACCAACTGTTGATGTCCAAAATAAGATCCATCTTAAAGGACTCGGACTCGCAGTGGAGTCTGCTCACTGAAAATCACAAAAGGAGCGTATTGTTAAAAATGCGCGATACGATGCACTGTTATAATTGGACGATTGATTATATGATACTATCGAGATGAGTCATAAATTCGTTCGGAGGAATCAACGAGAGAGAAAACTTATTTTCGCTCAAAGACGCAACGATGGCTGACGTCACCTATGGCCAAACGTGCTTTCAATTTGCAATATTATCGCCAAACACGTACACGCAAATATACTCACATCTTTTATCTGTAATATTGCCAAATCGAATGTCTCTCTCTCTCTCTCTCTTTTTCTCTCTTATCAACTTGCGTCGGCTATCAAGCGCTTTCGATATTCGCTCGAGACGAAAAAGCAGTTGGACTCGGAATCACCTATTGCCATATCACTTCTCGTTCGAGCGATAATAGTGTCGAGTTAATTCCGGATTCGATAAAGAAGAATTTTTGTGATGCTACAAGAGAGTTGTCGATTAATTGTAAGATCGCATATGAGCGCGGATACCAATCCAAAAGAGAACCCACAAATATTTACATACAGCGTACGCAAAAAATGCCGTATTAAAACAACTATATGATTAATGTAAATTCAATGAAATTAATAAATTGACTATTGTATTGATGACATTTTAATATAAACCATTGTTTCGATCATTGTATAGAAATTTCGTAATTAATTGTAAGATTATATATATATTATCATTTTTAATGTTTTCTCTAAACGTTAAACGGTAATACGTCGCGTGTATATTTTGCATTTGCAAGTTTTTTTTCCGAGATCCTTCCAACCATCAACATTTTCTTTAATAAAAAAAAATAATGACGATTAAAAACATATTTTAATCTATTTTAAGATTTCTGTTTTTTCTCATTTTCTTTCGTTGATTTCAAATTAATTATACACGTTATATATATACGTTGTTATTATATACGACAAGGAAAACTATGCTAAAGTGAAAACATGAGGAAAAAAAAGAAGTTATTTGAAGGTGAATTGTAACCGCGATATACGATGAAAAAACGAAACATGAGAAATTGCAACGTCAAAAATTTGGAACAGAAATACATTATGTTATAAAGAAACTGCCAATGTGTCGCATTAGATTAAATAAGAATGTCGTCGGTAAGAGGATAAGAACACATTATATGTTGTATCGTACATTTGCAACTGCAACATTCTTCTGTGTCGCACACGCGAATCGGATCAAAACTTGTTATGCACGGGACAAATGCATTGCATTTTTTTCCGCTTGTTATTTATAAGATGGATTTTTTTTTAGATTGGCAGCTTACATGATCAATCTATAATTAATTTTACATAAATATCTTAACATGCTTTAAATAACATTGCACTTTAAATAACATTACGTTACTTTGTTCAAAAAATGGAACTCGGGACCTGGAAAAAGCATACATTGCAAAGGAGCTTTTATCTTTATTTAAACAGCGTAAAGTGAAATGCTCTTTATGTACAGGAGAAATGCATTCTCTTTTAGCAATCAATTCTTTTGTGTGCAACGTAAATAATTGGATGATTTGATCGCGAGTTACACGTCTCGTGCCTCCGGCGGATCTCGATATCCCATATCCTTAGACAATCCAAGGTTCATATCCGATATTAATTTCGTCAATGTGTGCGATACCGCTTGCGATAATCTAATATCGATATCGTTCTCACACGGCATGAGTAATCTCGAGCGGTCGTAAAGTGAATTATCAACATGTAAATCAATGTCGCTGAGAGAGTAGTCGAGAGGAGAAATAAATTTGTGCGCGGACGCGCGAATAGAGTTCACATTTCAATATTAAATCTAATATAAATAACACATTTTATAATATAAACTTGTATAATTTCTCACTCAAGTATATCGTGCTCCGAAAATTGATCCAATTACGATATGTATATTTTATCATAATGCAATTATTATAAAAATCTCATTTTTTCCAAATATAAAAACATATTTTCTGAAATTTATTTCCTGTGATTTATCATTTTCACTAATTTTATTAAACTCTTATCTTTCGCGTGTTTTATATTTTAATTTCTTATTATAGAGCACATATTTTATTTTGATAAGAAAGATTCTTCTTAAAAAATATATCAGTTTTGAGAAAGATCGTCCACTTCATAATTATCAATATACAGAAATCTTGTGTTGCCGAATTGTGCAAAGATTTCAACCGTATTTTCTTTTAGGAATTATGCAATCTATGAACGCGGCGTTCATTTTCATTTACCGGAAATTATCGTCGTCACGAGAAATTATTTCCAGAGCTACTCACGCGAGTAATCCGTTTTCCATCGCTCGCCGATCTAGGGATCCCGGAGTCTCGGGAGGACGGAAGCAGGAAGAGTGTATGCACTAGCGACGTTCGCTCGCACCTCCTCTTCTTCCGCCCACGCATTCCACAGTTCTCCCCAGCTGATTCCGCCCTCTTTGTCTCGCATCTTCTCTCTTTCCCACCTTTATGCCCATCCCCTTCTCTTTCGTCTCTTTCCGCTTTTAATATCTCTTTCTCTCTTTCTTCGTTCGTTTACTCTATAAATTTCACTACTATAAATACTTCGCCATTGAAAAAGCCATCTTTCTCTCTCTCTCTGTCTTTCCCT